ATTTAGGTATATAAAAACGAAAGAAACAAAAAAAAAAGGAAGAAAACAATTGCAAATTATTAAATTAAGTGATAGAGGCCTGTTGACTTCAATAAAACTATCATTTTATTGTTCTCCACAGCATTGGGTCCTAATGCGATGYCGAGGGTCGTATCCAATCCGGTGTTTTGTCGTTCTTGCTGATATTTTAGGCATTCTGTATTTCTGTTATATAATGTGTTTCATTGATATTTGAATACTGCAGACTTCGCACAAGGGGGGTTCTTCCTTAGCCAATAGCCATTAGGTGCCCGCGTGTGTCCTATTCTCAATCTGTTATAAGTACCGATTCTTCTTTTCTGTTTAAAGAGAGCTGTTTATCCACCTGAAGGTACTACTTTTAATTCTGTTACGTTTGGTGTTTTGTTGTTTCCGTGTATTGAACCATCTGGTGTTGGTTATATCATTTATGCATCTTTTAAGGTCATTGTAGGTGGGTCCAAAAATAGTTTTACATGCGGAGCTTGTGACTGCGAGCTTAGCATGTTTATCAGCTAGTTCATTTCCTTAATTCAATGCCGATGTGCCCGGGGACCCACATGAGACTATGAGAGTGATTTGTTTGTTTTTATAAAGKGCTTCGTTTAATTTTTTCAGTATTTTTATCGCTATGTCTYCGGGTTTGAACTGGTTTTTAATGCTATTAAGGGCACCCAAGGAGGAGTCACTGAATATTATGTGGTTGGGATGTTCATCATCTAAGGTTAATGTGATCGYCTCGAGTATCGCTATTGCCTCRGTCGTATATATGGAACAGGTGTTCGTCTATGTATTTTATGCTTCGCCTATATGACCGTATAATTATTGCCTGAAATTATAAGAACAGTAAAATTCACTTTAACCAATCACTACTCGTTGGGCTACACGCCGATGGCTTACWGCTATGAGCTATAGATATACATAATAGGTACTTGTACTGTAGAATTAGGGTTCTGAATTAAGAGTGCGCACGGAGGAGGGAAAGGCTATCCTACCGCGGCATCTGGGCTTTTCTTTAATAAATGCATTTAAATGTATAGATATTTGATATCTGTAATACTTTACTAGATTATTTTTATATTTGCATRTTGAGTTAAATCAATAGGTATTTTATAAAATTTACAATTTTAAGATTTAACTATACTAGCAGTCATTAGTACAATAAATAATACACTGATATAACTTATATTGTTATATACTATTRTTACTTATGTATTTATACAATTCTTACCATATGTATATTAAAAACTCGAGAATTAGAAAATATGATACCTAATAACGATTCTAAAAATTGTATTTTRATTTATTRCGTTATCAAAGAAAAAAGAGGGTGAGCATGTTTGGTGAACCACTCTGTACATATTAACAATATTGCGAGCATGTACGCAATTTAAGATACATTTAATTTGCACAGATCATAATTTTTCGATATAAAATGATTTTTAAATCATTGTTGTTTTCTGACATGAACAAGTAAATATATTATGTATAGGTAGTTAAGACTCGAGATAAATGTATGTTATTATCATTGTCTGATTTTTATTTCGTTCAGTTGCAATTATCTTTGGAAAGAAGATGGAATGTCAGAAACTGTCAAACGCGATACGCGTTTTTTATGAGCACCCTGGAGACAGGCACATAATTTAAGTTAGTTAGTTAATTAAATTTAAACATCACGGTACTAAGTTATATCATAACATCCATAATAATATAATATAAAAATTGTTTTATGCTATTAATCTATGCTGTGTGATATTTACTATATAATATGTTTTCAAGTTTATTTATCAGGTTTTATTATTTACAAACACATTTATGTGAKCATTAACCTTAATATTATTCATGATATTTATTTGAGAGTACTTAGTTTATTCAAATTCAACAGATCTTTTGTTAAATACTTGATAGACTCCATAATAATTAGTTTAGAACGAGATAAAAATAATAAAAATTTGCTAGTTTTTAATGTTTAGAGTCTAAATAAAAAATGTTTTTAAAGGTTTAACATTAGATCTAAACGACATTATTAGATAATCAATCTAAAATCGAGCAAACTTATATGATGCTTATGTTTTATTTTTTGGATTAACCACAATTTGTGTATTTTTTCATTAAAGAATTGAGTGCCTGTATTTAGTTTTATTTAAGATACATGGATATATTAAATTATAGCCCCATCAAACTATTGAAGAATGTTTTTTTTTTCTTATAATTGGACTGGTTTAGTTTTGATTAGAATCATAAGTCATAAATGGTTTAAAATATTTAATATTTAATAAATGTTCATTCACACAAAAAAAAGCATTTCTGTCCAATTATAATTTAGAGACATTCACTATGTAAAATGTAAATTATCATTTAAAAAATCTTTGTAAAAAAATACTAAACATAATGTTGATAGATAATTCATTATTTATAATTATAAATTAAATTAAAAAATTACCAGATTAATTTAATTTTAGATTTAAAAATAGAATTTAATATAAGTCATAAATGTTAAATAAAAAAATTGATCAAGAGCTTAGGAATAGTTATTACAAAATATTAACACATTAAATACATATAATCACACAAATGATTGTGTTTTATTTTTTCCCAACAATAAAATGAAAAATAGATTGTTGTATAAGTATATTGTAAATTTATCCATTTTTAAAATGAATCATTATGATTTAAGAAAATCAAAAACATTATCCATATTTAATTATGTTATTAACGCCGATTTAAACGCTTATAATATTTATCGTTATTAATTTGTATCTGGAGTGGAGACACAGAACGAGCATTATAGCGGTGACCATGTTTTCTATGAGGCCCAAGCCTACTCTTCACATGTCTCTTTTCGTACACATCTTCATCACTTGTGCAATCACCATCATCTTCATGTAAATACTGGCGGCGTGGAATATCTCGACGAGTTGCACGGCTAAATGGAATATCAGAGAATTCCTCATCATTTACATCTTCAACATCTACTTCAAGTGATTCATCATCAAGATACTGATGCGCTTTAGCAGCACGAATAGCTTTGGCTACTTTAGCAGATACCAAACGTCCATTAAGACGTTCTCGCAAGTCATTGGCTATATTTACTTGATGTCTAATAAAAAAGAATAGTATGAAAATGAAAACCTTTTAATTTTTATGGATTATTCTTAGTTATTTAAACCTTGAATTTGAACTTGAATTCAGACGCTTCCTTGTAATAGCTTGTGTCTCATCATCTGCATACATGCGCATTCTTGGTATTTTGCTCTCTCTATACCTAGCATCATTATAATCATCGTCGTCGTCGTCTTCACTAGCTGCACCTGATGATGATGTGGGTGGTGGTGGCGACGGAGTGCGTACTTTGGATTTGTCTACAATGATAAACCATATATATACCAATTATGTAAGTATAAAATATAATTTTATAAGACATTGCGTCATTAATTAACTAGGTACCCTGCTTAGAAGCTGCTTATTTTATTTAAAGGTTTTATTATTTGTCATGGATATATTTAAATTTTAAATTTATAACAAATATTATGTTTATTTATGTATTGCCAACACTCTAAGAACAAAAATAAATATTAAGCCGCGACCACACCTGAGCACGCACAGACCGAGCATGTGTGCTCACGCCGAGCCGACAGACTCGGCTCGTGTTCGCTGTGCGTCAAAATCATGCAAATTTGTAGAACGCACGACATGAGCACACATGCTCGGTCTGTGCATGCTCAGGTGTGGACGTGGCTTTATATTGTTGTAAAAATACATAACATTTTATTTTCTTCAAATAAAAGCACTTGTAAAAAAAAACACTAATGTTAATACTAAYGTTAATACACACTTTATCAACTTTAAAATGTTGCCAATCCATTTAGGTAATAAAACATCTTGCTAATTTAAAACTTGTAACGAGTGCAAATTATTATTTTATGTCATAAGATTATGTATATTTATGTCATACTCAGGATACATTCATACCAAGACGTATTATTTAATTCAAYTGTAATAATACTATTTAACAATGTTAATAGATGGTTGGAGCTTTGGTTACTTCTATGCAATATTTAAGATCATTTTTATTTTTACAAATTTATTTGGTATGCATAACTGTTTAATATGAAATTGTATTCTATTCATAGTTTTTTAAGTACCAGCAACTATGGTCATTAAATTTTTGTATTGAGAAAATGATTGRTTTTGAGCAATACGTATGTATGTATATGAAGTGAGAACTGCATGAAAAACTAGATGTCAAAGTATAAATTGTTTCCTAAGAGTTTAACTTATTTAAACAAACTATGTGGCTTACTTTYAATACTACAAATTAAAAAAACAAAAAAAACTTACATTTAGCATTATCCATAGCATTGTCATATTGGCTCCAAGTTTTGGCTATTGCAGTCCAAGTATTGATTCCTGGATTTTTGGCCAATTTCCACCGAACATCATCTTTCAACATTTCATCTCCAATATCAGGATGATTGATTACTGGTATAAACTTACGTTTACGACTTTCTTGGGAAAATAATTCATAATCTACAAATAAAATGCAAAAACTTATTAGCAAACTCAAGTGTTTAAGTATATTAAATAATTCAAAATATTTATATAATATAGACCTCCATCTTCTACATCAGCACTTTTATTCTTTACATCTAGTTTATCATATATAGTACTATATCTCATCAATATGCACTTGGATTTTTCATATGGCTTAATTGCTTTCCGCCACATACCTGGAGGCAACTCATAACCCACACAGCTGACATAATCTTCTGATACTAATACCTAAAATCACATAAAAYATGACTAAAWAGAAAATTACATTTTTTAAATTTAAATTTGCTCTTACGTCATCTTGATCCATGTGGTCATCGTTTTGATTTTCATTTAAAACTCCAGGTTCATTRTTTAATTCATCATTAACTGTATTCGTAATATGTTTAAGTTCGCGTATCGGTCGAGTTAAGTCCAATAACGCCTTAGTAGGCATTCGATCATCTAACCATACAACATTACCTGAAAATATTGACCCAAAAATTGTATGCATGATAAAACAGATCTAAAAGTGCTTAAGGTAGGTACTTAACAAACAATCAACTAACATTCAGAATTTGATACCCATTCCAAAAATTTAGGATCATATTTATCAAAATAATCGATTATATCTTTAGTGGTCATTCCCACGACTCCGTGCAAATGTAAAGCATTCAGCTGAATGTCTTTGTCGTTTTTGTTCATGCCAAGACTGRAAARCAAAACACACATTGACTTACTGAACTCTACCCAAATCTACCATAACATACCTGTTTAAAACATACTGGACTTGTTTGTCAGTGATGTCTAATGAATGTGTGGGCTGTTGATCCGAATTGGACGCAGTGGCAGTTTGGAACGTGTTTCTATTCAACTTATGGGGAACACATCAGGATCAGTATCATTGTTTAAGTATGCATATAAGAGGTAAAAATAGAACGAGGCACATACTTTGGGTCTGTTAAGATGTGTGATCGGCTGGCTGGTCCGYGCCGACGTGCTGTTGTCAACTGGCTGATTGTCGTCACTGTCCAATAGTTCTCCAGGTTCCAAGAAACCTTCCGACAGGATGTCATCAGTATCGCTGTCCGCCATCGCAATCGCCAAATAAAGTGAGAACTACTCCTGTTCCTAATGTTCTAGCTGCTCCACATCAAAATCTCAGGTACGTTTTCGGTTCAACGCATTTTTGTAGCAGTCAGATCGACACGATAACCAGAGCACCCTCCAGTAAGTTTCTTAACTTTCTCACGCGGACTGGTAGCCACTCGTTATCAGTGAGAAAAAATAATAATTGAGAAAAAAATTTCGTCCACTACAACCGCTGGATTTTAAGCAGCGCGATTGTGATAATACTGATTACCGATAGAGAATAGATACTACGAGCGGGCGTCGTGTAAATACTGTAAATTAATAATATCTATGTATAATATAGATTATATTTAGCACGTGTTGTTTCGTTAGGGATTTGAAAAAAAAAATGCTTCGGATTCGTGTGCCGTTCCGCCGTCACTTGCTGACTTGCTGTTGAAGATTGTTGAACATTAACGACAATGATAAAAAAAACTTGTTTTATGGACGACCAAACGGCGACGCGTATGGTACGATCATACGACGATCATACGACGACCAACTCTCGTCGAAAAGGACTCTGCTGCCTTTAGACATTTTAATGGGAATAGTCATTAGTCTTTTTCGTTCGGATTTATTTTATGCAATAAATTCAGCAATATTTTATTGCAGTTAAATTCATAATAAATTAACCATAATGACGCTATGTCGCTATCATACGTGTAACGCAGCAATATTATAGTGAATTTTCGTCCGTCGTGTTGGTAGTAATTCCGAATTCCGTCGCCAGTGGTCGCGCGCGCGTTATCACTGAATACAGAAAACAGATAATGATGCTATCGCAATCCGCCAATCCGCACGAAATACAAATTTAACATACTAACTGGATAAAATATAAAAAGTAAAGGAAGACTACAACTCAAGTCTGTTGTTACTTTTTTATAGATAAAAGAAATGTACTTGTTATCAAAGAAAAAAACCGAGTAGTGATCGTCACTCTTTTGGTTACTGGTTATTGGATATTGGTTGGTCGTTACCTCAATTCCCGAAAAATTGGTAACTAAAAAAACGTCGCTCTTCTGATTGACATCGACTTTTCTACATTTTAGATTTTTTGATTTTAACTTTTCCGTAAATTAAAATATAATATTTTTTTAATTACTTTTTTTATTACACCTTTTTTAGGAATTTGGGGGAAAATGTCAAAAATGTGGGAAAGACAATCTCAAGACAGATTCAAATTTGTTTATAGAATTCTTATTGCCTCATCGATACGTTTGGCAAAGAACACGTCTAAAATTTTGTATCGCGCGTGCGTTAGACAAAGACAGATAATCATGGGATCAAATCTCCTTAACAAAGATTATCTATTTTTCATTTTTTTGACGAAATTACTAAGGCGCCAAATAGTAAATRCTTACATAGTTATCGTTTAAAATGTATGTCAATTGCACTATTATGATATCATTAATTAAATTTTTTTTAATTAATAAAATACATACATACATTTTACTAAATTCTAATATTTRCAATAGGTAGGTAATCATAAATGTTCAGATTTGAAGGCAATAAAAAAATGTCAATAGTTATTCATAAATCATAAAATTAGGCGATAATTTGTACAAACACAAAAAACCGCATCATAGTAAAATCAATTCGCTCAGCYCAGAATCTAAAATGAAAAAAATGTATAATGTGTAGTTGTAATAAATTTAAACTTTTTCTAACTTTTATTACTTCCAAATTGTGTTATTACATATAACTAAAAATTAATATACAGCGTTATTTCTTCAATCGTACGTAAGTGATCAGTACATTTTGGTATGCTACGTGAATATAAACCAGAATTAACCAGAATTATGAAATTTTAGCCAATTAAACAATTCTAAATAGTGAATATTCAATGTATAGTATACTTAGTATGAATATCAAAACAAAAATATCTTGGTGAAATAAAAATTTAATAGTTCCATTGAATTCATCGAGTATATTTCTATAAGAAATTGTTTATTTTACTTTAAAATGTTTAATATAATAAATTTATGAAAATAGAACTACCAAAAAGTG